GCCTCTGGCAGGAGCTTTCTTAAATACTGAATTACAGTCAATCACAGTCCAACAAAGCCCCTTCCTCTCCCTCTCTCAAGCATCCAGGACTCTGCAACAACTCTAATCGCTTTCACACACTCCCAAACACAGTCCTCCCACACAATATCCTCAGCTGAATCCCCTCAGCTGAAACAAAGTAAAAAAACACTCACCCCTCTAGCAGCTCTGCTAGAGTACATGCATTTGAAAAGGGTTCATCCAGTAATACGTGCATTTGAAAAGTACATGCATTCGAAAAGTACATGCATTTGAAAAGGGTTCATCCAGTAATGCCCAGCCCATGTGGGTCCTCTACCCTTTGACAGGACTACTATAATGTGAGGAAGGGAGATAACACTTTGTATCCGTACCTTTCGGTCTCCAGAAAGAGTCCTGAATCTCAGTGGTCAGAGTGTGCATGTGAGTCTTTTCTCCATTGAGGAGAGAGAACTGGGCAAGTTACTTGTGTTCAGCAAGGTGATTCACCTTTAAGAAACTGGCCATGTGGGAAGGTTAGCATAAAAAGTCTCTCAGGGCCAGGATTTGATTTTTAGACGTTTATTCTAAGCACCCATTGAGAGCAACAAATAAAGGGAATTTTGTAAGGAAAAATGTAAATCTTAGAGAACAAAATTACAGTTTCCAACTAATCCTAAACCCACAAGTGTTCTCTGGTCTTCATGCATTTCTTGCAAGCAAGCCATGAAAGAGAATAGAATATCTCCTTGGAATTATTATTTGAGAATACAGTACAGACAAAAGGACATTTGTTCTACCCAGTAATTAAAGTATGAATTTCACTACCAGAAGATGTCACAGTGGCCCAGGATGGAGGAAAGGCAGAAAGACCAGAGACAGGGGACCCTGCTTTTTTGAACCTGTTTAGCTGTTGTTTGTCCCCAGAACAAGACCACACACTCTCACTAACTAGCTGCTACCACCTGTCACTTTAATATCCAAGACAAAATCTGACAGGCCCACTTGGTCTATCTCACTGCCTGTTTTACACATATACTCACCTATCCACCCTCCATCCAGCCAAACATGCAGCCTGGTTTATTTGAGACCTGGCCTGCACAAAACCCAGCCTTTTTATACCAGAGTAACCTTAACACAAGTTTTAACTCAACCCTGGGAAAACCACATACAGAGAGAAGGTGTAAACAATTACTTAATTTCAATAGGCTTAAACTGGCATAACTCAGCTGAACTGTCTTAAGCAGAGAAACAGTTTTCTAAGGCCGCTGAAGTCCATGGGCATAGAGAACTCTCTTCATGATTGCAGGGTGCAGCCTTAAGCTGTTACCCAGAACTGAGATTCTCCTCTAACTTGTTTTGTTATGCTGAAACCCATATAGCAACGGAGAGACCAGCAGTAGTCTAGGAGTGAGCAAGTAAATCCCCTTCTTCTTGCCATGTAGCTTCAGTTGCCAGCGCACGCTTGTTACCTCGCCCCAGAGTTTTGGCTTTTTTTCTCTGTCTGCAGCACCCTTACAGGAGCGCAGAGCGTCGAGAGGGGCGGGACTTCTCCCTGGCTGAGCAAGAAGGAGTGTGCAATTGCAGATCACCGTCACTAGGTGTCAGATATGCGCCTCAGCGAGGGGTGGAGGCGGAGGCGGGCTTGTGTCAGGCTCATCCTTCGCTAAACTGCGGTTGGCGAAGCCATATGTCTATCAAACGGGAGGAAGGGGTTGCCGCCGCCGCCGCCGCCGCCGCCTGGGCCGGGCTGGGGTCGTGAAGGGAGTTTGAGGCAGCCGTTTGGACTCCGCGCGCGGGGCTGGGGCGGCCTCCCCCCTCCCTGTGCCCCACAGCGCGCCCAGTCCCGTCTGCCCCCCCCCCCCGGGGCTCCATGGCATCTACGGCGAGTGCCGGCGGCTGTACCCAGAACAGCCCAACCCCTTGCAGGTCACCGCCATCCTCAAGTACTGGTGAGTGGAGCGTCTGGCGGCCAGTGGGCTCGGTGGGGCTGGCGGGTTCGTGGCAGGGGCTTCGAGAGGCCTTCGGGGTCCCCGAAAGGCTTCGGGGCCTGGGTGAGAGAGGGGATGGGGGGAGGTCAAGCTCCTTGAGTCTAGGGGTACATGGCGCTGGTAGGGTTGTCTGCGCTTGTGGGGAGATGTGCTGGCAAGCTGGGTCCCACTGGGTGGCTGAAGAGTTTGGGATTCATTGATGCTGGTTGTAGTTGAGTGGGCTGCGATTTTGTCAGAACCGCGGGGGAGGGGGGAGTCGATAGATCTGAGGATAGTTCGGTCGAGAGGAGGGCGCATGGTTGCGTGTCCCCCCCCCCCCATCGGATGCTGAGCCTGGGTAGAGAACTTTCAGTAATGCATGCGGAGGCGGGGGTCGTTTAAGGCCTCCCTGTGATCTTGGGGTGGGGGAGCAGGTCTGTAGGCTTGTAATCAAGTGGGGGTTGATCTGATGCATGTGATGAATGGCATATGAGCTGGGTTTGTTAGGGAGCAGACTGGTTGATAGGGTGATGTGTTTTGCGTGTGAGGAGGGTTGAGGGAGCAATAAATTTAAAACTTTATTATGAATAGTTTCCCTAGGTGCATGGGAAACTGCTGGAGGCCTTTCTAGCATGATTACTACTTATACAGTTAGAAGGATTAGCTGGAGATCTTGTTTTTTTTCTTCAGGTACTTATTCCATTCATGCCCTGATTTTCTCCCCTTTGGGGACCTAGAATGGCTTTTATCATTGTCTTCTCCACTGTATCCTGTAAGGTAGGTTAGGGTGAGTGTGTGACTGGCCCAAGATCATCCAGCAAGTTTCCTTGGCACATTGGGGATTTGAACCTAGGCTTCATGATCCTAGTCTGACACTGTAACCACTACATTAGGTGTATAATGAAGATATCACAACTTGAAGTGATATGTTTGCTCTGTACCTTCAGAACTGTGCTTCTTTTTTACTATATTGCTTTCATTTTTCTGTTCTGAATTCATGCTTACTTTTCTCTAATTCATCTGATGTACTTCTGTAGTCCACATGCTCTCCTCAGCCTTCAAAGAGATGGCTTTTCTCACTCACAGTTTACCTGTGTACACTATTTTCCTTTTGTCCTAATCTGCCCAATTTTCAGATTACCCCTTCAGTGTTAGCACACCCATAAACAGTTCCTACCTACTCAATACCTGGTTTGTTTTGCTGCCTAGTTTGCTCCTTCACAGTGTAATGTTTTTACTGAGTTGCTCTAGTATGAGTCCATTGATTTCAATGGGCTTAGACTGGTATAACTCTGCACATAATTTCACTGCCACTGGCAGCTTTTATCTTGTCCACAGCTGTGGTCTCTGAATGAATTGGCTGTTTGGTTAATATTTAAACTTTCCTTATAAGGAGTGGGTAACACACATAACCCAAAGATAAACTGTGTATAAGGATTGTATGCTTTTGTGGGACATTAACCTTACAATTGGGACATGCTGCTGTGTATGTAAAATGGGAGTTTTGGCGTATAGACTAGTTCAAAGGAAAAAAGCATAGCATGTGCCTGAGAATGCATGTGTGTATATTAAGTACTGGAGTCTGTAGGGGGAATGTAGATAGCAAAGGTTATATACCCTTGGTGTAGGTGGTTGAGGAAATGTGGAAAACCATTCCTTGTTTGTATACTCTAGAGTGCATATGTGTATATTAATCTAAGAATACATAAAATGTGTTAGGGGTGGTGCTTTGCTAGGAAAGAGAGGTCAAGAAGACTTTACCTCCCATAGCGATCTCCTGCACCTCTGTATGGAGGTAGACTGTATAGATGGAAAAGTAGGAGAATGGGGGAAGTGATCAGAGGTAAGGTGGGAGAAGGGAAGGAGTTAATTGGTCTCTGGGATAGATGTATTTCAGTTCTCTGAAGAAACCACAGCAGTGCGGTTGAGGATATCAGGGTTGCTCTGTTCTGTCCATCACATTTTTATCTCATGCTTCTTCCAAGAAACTCAGGGATCTCTGCACAATTTTCCTTTCCCTTAATTTATCATTAAAACAACCATGTTTGTTTGGTTAGGCTCACAATGAGTGACTGGTCCATGGTCACCCATCAGACTTCAGAGCTGTGGGAATTTGAACCTGGGTCTCTCCAGTCCTAGTCTGACTCTGTCACTTGTTCTATCTTGAGAGGATCATGATGTGGGCATATTGGAGAACTGTGGTCTTGACAGGGATCTCTTTGTAGACTGGCATGTTAGAAGATTATCATGAGGGTGAAGTACTAATCTGATACAAGGAGATGGGAAGTGTTGTCTATCTAGGATCTAAGGAAAGAGTATTGGTAGAAAATTTAAATCTTGTGGCAAAGTTTCTAGATTGAAGGGAATGGCACAGGTGACTTATTAGGAGATCCATGAAGTGATGGGATGTGGTACGGCAATCACCTGTGGAATAGAAAGAGGATCTTTCTCTGCCTTAACTTGCAAAGATGCTGTTTTGTCTGATGCTTAAGTCTGAAGGCAGATGGCTGTCAGGCAGAGAGAAAGCTAGTGACGCAGAGCCAGGATCCCAGTGGCATCTTTCTGTGACAGATAATTGAGATAGGGTGATGGCAGCAGATCTGGAAGTTTTATATCATCCAGCATCCACTTCTACTGTGACACCTTACTTTCCCAGATCAGGAAAATAATGTTACAGTGTGAGATATCCCAGGTGGAAATGTGGCTTAGAATCCTGGATTGTAGACAAGAAATAAACTGTAATTCTGTTAAAGTGCTTGATAGAGATTTAAATTTCTAGAAATTTTGGAGCCATGGAAAGAAACCCTTTCTTTCCGGGGGAGGGGTGTGGTGTTCAGGAAAAAAAACAGAATTCTGGGGAATAATTGAAGTACATGCAATACTTTCTATCAAACCTACATTTCTTTTACTGATTGAACAACATAAAATGCATAATTTCTAATTTAGTATTATACTGTTTGGCATATCTGTGGAGTTTATAAGTAGAAATATTTTCATTTTATATTTGCAAAATTGCAAGAATACCCAATACTTGAGAAAGACTTGCAGACTGCTGCACCCTCTGCTCCCATAGTACATGTGTATCTTTACATTTTGTGATCTGACAGGTAAGGTAAAACAGTTGAAGATTGTAAACAAATTTTGTAGTAAACAAAGGTATAATTGGACTGAATGTTTGGATATTAACATTATTAAAATGCTTAATGTATTATCACTAAACGTAACTTATTAAGTGTTGCCAAAATTATTACATTTAAATAAAAACATCTTGTAGATATTGTATATGTTTACACTATAAGAATTTTTTTGTGCTCCCACAAATTTTCCTGTTTTTCCATTGGAAAAATTGGAAAATCATACATATTTACATGCTATACATTTTGAGTGTGAAAAACTTTAAGCATCTTACTCATTCTAAAAGACAAGATATAGGAGTTTCTTTTCAGCATGTTCGGCATTGCACCAGTTTTCCTCATTTTTCTGTTGGAAGGTTGGGGAAAAGGCCAAGAAATACGTTTTGTCCGATTTTTTCCATTTTCCCCCTTTAGTCCCTTCCATGTCTAGAACTTGATTCTGATGTCACAATAAATTGCAGTTAATTTGGAGATGTCGGATTTTATGAAGTCTTCAGTCTCAGTGTAATGTGCAGGCAGAGGAGGAAAGGAGTGCTCAGGCTTGAGACTTTCAGCCTGTTTATCCCAAACAAATTGCGGCTTGTTCTTGACATCTGAATGCAGCCAGCATCTGATTGACAGGGCTTTTGGTTTGTGGCTGATGTCTCCTGACAATGATGTGTTTCTTGGCCTTGTTCATTCAAACTGATGCCCTTGAGGATTATTGTGTGTTAAGTTTTTTCCGTAGTACATGGGACTCTTTTGTTTGTACCTAGCAGTTTCTAGCAGTGATACAATATAGTTGTACTCTTCAGCAGCACAGTGTAGTACTACTTTCTTAATCCTTCATTAAAAACTTTTGGCTACTTATCTTTAGGGGCACTGAAATATGTGGATTTGTACTGTCAGGTCTTTAGGTATTTTCTGTGAAAATTAATCTTTATTGAATAACTTCTTGTTTATGATGTGGTTGAATGCCACAGAATGGGCGTAACAGTTTTTTTTGGTGTGTGCAGCATTAGGCTAGTCTACATTTTTGATCAAAACCTGGTTTGCATGGTTTGTGTTCTGTAAAAGATCCTAAAGCAGATTATTATTTTTAGTTTAGCCATGGAGGAATTTAAGGGTCTCTGTCATTAATATTCTGTTTCTATCTTTTTGTTGCCTCTTTTTTAAATGAAAGTGGTGACTTGAATGATATTTAAGTTCTCTGAAGCTGTGTTCATATAAACATAGGGGAATGCTGTTAGCTTAAATGATTCTGTGTAACATGAATTACTCTTCTATTTCTCCTACACATTATAGGAACCGTAGTATGTAATGTGTCCTCCCTCTGAAGATTTCAGCTGTTGATCTCATGAGGGAATAAACAAAAGTTCTTGGCAATACTGCATATGGTACAAGTAGTCACAGGTATTATTGGAACTCCAGGCATGTAATTTGACACTAAGAAGTAGTTGGGGGGACTGAAGTAGAACAGGGCCATGGTGCTTGAGAGAGAGGTTTACTTCTTTTCCTCTTCCTCCTCTTCTTCCCTGATAGAAAAAGGACCCTGATAGAAAAAGAACTGTTCCACTGTAGGAGGGGAAAAGGTACCCATGCTGTGCCTTTCCTCCCTACCCAGACTAAAATTTCTTAGGGGAAATAATGCTAGGGAAGAATTAATTCCCTCTTTCCCCTGCATCACAGCCTTAATCCATAGCTCTTACATTTGCATAGCTGTGGCTTCCTTTTTAGGGCCAAAAACCATGTTGAGAAATTGTCAGTGCGCTTAAATTCCAATTGTATCTTGGCCCTTTAGTGTCTAGTGGACACATCAAGGGATAATGAAGAATGGCCCCTATTCTTGTAATATTCACATGATAAGGAGTTATGGTAATACTGTTAAAAGATGAGTTTGTACCCTTTGTGTGAGCATGTTTCCCCCCCTCATTACACTTACACACACACACACACACACACACACACACACACAGTATAGCTGAGAAGTTAAGGTCTTAGTGTGAACATGCTATATCCATTTTTGAGGAAGCTGGTATAGACTAGCATCGTTCTTTGTTCCTATAAAATGAAATACAGATTCAGGAAAGCAATAGACTTTAATTGGTGAAAGTTTCTGCTTGTAGAAGAACCGGATAAAGATCAAAAACATTCCTATTTTAGCAGAAGCAAGTGATGTTGCCTTTGCTGCGTTTAACATGGCATTTCCTCCCTCCTCTTTGGACTGTATAGGGTTAATTAAACTGCTTTGCCTTTGGCAGTGAGAAACACCACTACTAGGTGGTCTGCAGCAGGCACACAGCTTGCCAATAAATAGTTGAGAGACTGACATCTGGTGGTCCAAAAATCACCCTTTAAAATTGTGCTTAGGGATATATCTCCTTCAGACTTGCAATGGCACATCTTTATGGATGTTCACACAAAGCTTTTCTGTTTGTGGCATGTTTCACAAAGCTGCCTCTTTCCATTCTTCCTTACAACAAATGTTTTCTTTGCTTATGTAAAAGCAGATGGTGCTTAAGCAGCTGGTGTTCTGAGCCCATTGCATATCCTGCTATTGTCCTATTGTTTGCTTGTGTTCCCCTTATCTGCTCTGTCTTCCTGTTTAAACATCCTGTATTTCATGTGGCATGGGAGGTGCAACAGTCAGAACAAGTGGACATTTGGGCAACTGTGGAAAAGGAGGAGGGATGGCTCGGCATTTATATCTTCATAGGGCTACTTTAACATTAAAGAAAATCTTGTAGGTGTTCCGAATACATATTCTGAAGATTATAAGGAGGGACAAGTTACTAGTTTTGTGCTGTCAGCATTTTAAAAAATAAAATTGCAATAATATCTGCTCTTATCCCATAGTTTGTGGATGGAAATTAAGCAGCCAATTGGGCAAGAAAAGTATGGCCTGTTTATTTCTTTAGGTAATATATAATGCTGTTTCTTATTCTCACAAGTAAGAATAATACCATAAAACCATAACAACAACTTGTCAATGCTAGAAAGAAGGCGAGGGGCATAAAAACAGCATAAACACTACTGAGCAGCTTAAAAGTGGACCAAAACAGCTAAATAAGATAAGCCTCTTAAGTTAAACCTGGGTAAAAAGAAATGTTTTGGCCTGAGGTGTCTTAGGAGGGGAGGCACTCTAAAGACAAGGTGCCACCTCTGCCTCACCTCTGCAGGCAGTGCATGGAGAACAGGGCTTCAGGTGGCTGCTTTTAAAAGCTGGCTGGACAATACAGGAGGAGACAATAGTTCATGTACCCTGGTCTCTAGGTGTTCAGGGCCTTAAAAGTAAGAACCAAGACTTTGAATTGTGCCTGGAAACAGATGAGGAGCCAGTGGAGATCTTATCACCACAGGGATGATAGGATCCCTGTATCCAACCCCCAACAGTAACCTGGTTACAGCATGTTGGGAAAGTTGAGGTTTCCAGACAGTTTTTAGAGGTCCTTATAGTAATCTAGATTGGATGTGATCAGAACATGGATCACAATGGCTATCACTGGCCAGTCAGCCAAAGCTGATAAAGGCACTGTATGCCATGGAGGAGACCTCAGCCTCCAACCATAGGCCAGGATCCAGGAACACCCCCTGAGATATGAACCTGCTCCTTCAAGAGGCGTGCAACCCTCTGAGCAGGCCGACTGTTCAGTCCTCAAGCAGGTTTGGCATTAATGAACAGCATCTGGGTATCTTGTGGAAACAGATATTCTGCAGTTCATCCTTGGTAGCCGAATGATTTGGAGAAAAACTGCATTGTAAATTTCTGCGCTTAATAGTGTCCTGCTGTGTGTGTTATTATCAACATTGGTGGCCAGAATGCTTATTCTTGATTGTATCTGGTTTCTGAACGTTAATGGGGTTTTTGAGGGAGACTGACTCCCATATGAAGTAATTAGATCTGGGCAACTTACCGGTAAGTATAAGAATGGTGGTGTAAGTAGCTCACTCTCATAAGATCACAGAAGATAAGCACAGTTGGCCGTGGTCAGTATTTGGATGGGAGACCATCAAAGAATTCCGGGGTCACTATGGAGAGGCAGATGATGGCAAACCGCCTCTGAATGTCTCTTGCCTTGAAAACCCTATGGGGTCACCATGAGTTGGCTGTGACTTCACACACACAAACTCAAGTATCAGTGTGTCACTAGGTCCAACTTGTTTGCTCACTTTGGGAAAAAAGGGGTGGCTGCCCAGTTGAAGAGGGATATCAAATGGAGACAGTTACTGGTGAGTGGGCACCTATTAGAAAAGGGAATAGGTTAGTCCTGAACATGGCCATTACGCATTTACATTATGAGATCTGGGAGATGATTACAGTGATTCAGTTAATAAGCCTACTTTATTATTACTAGTGGCTGAGTTATTGATAGCAAATGGATAATTTTATTACTGCATAAAGATTTTGCCCAAGTGCAACAGGCTGGCTCCTGAAATTATCCTTTTTGGGAGGAAAAACGGATTAATTTGTAATTAGAATTTTTTTTAGGGTGTTTAATCATGCTTCCATCTATTCTTGTTTGTTATTTGATGAGATCTGGCTCTAATATTCATATATTCATTACTATTGGTTGCTGCTGTAAAAAAGAAGCATTTGCCTCATGAGCCATGTTGGCAGCTTTGCAGGCATTCCTTTCCTTTAGATATTTTAAAAGAAGTATGCACTGTTGTGACTGCTGCCTAGCCAAATACAGCCTACCTGATAAGGTCAGGAAGGCTTCCGCACTTTTATTATTTTGCAAATTTTATAAAACAGAATTGTTCAGGAGGATGTTTCTGTAAAAGAAATATGGTGGTAGTGAAATGGAATTGTTCAGGAAGGCATAGAAGCAAGTTGCAGTTTTAATGTCTGTGAACAAATATAAGCAGTTTTTAGAAATATTGCATTGTTTATTGAACTATTATATTGTTTCTATCACTTTGTTCTCTAGTTTTGTAATCCAGTTATTGCAGTATTTGTCGTCTCTATTTTGCTGGCCTTTTTGCATTGTTTTATATTTTGGGAGTCTGCCTTGAGTCTCAGTGAGAAAGGCAGACAATAAATAAAACATGAAATACTGTTATAATGGCTAAACTGTGCAGTACTATCTGACGGAATGTCTTCTCTCATATGTTCCTCCCGGGCATTTCGATCACAGGGAGAGGTCCTCCTGACTGTCCCACCAGTCAAAGAAGCTCCTTTGGTGGGCACATGAGAGACTTTAAATCTAACTTTAAATCTCATGTCTTCACTTTATAGCTTCTTGGTTTCTCTATGTAGGATCTTTAATGGGCAATACCAGAAAATAAATAAGAATTAATACTACAATTGTTCCCTGGGCATATGCAACCTGGAACATAAAGGAGATCTGAACAATTCCTGCCCAGGCATTAAGGTTGCAGGGAGAGGCCCTCCTGACTGTCCCATCAATCAAAGAAGCTGGTTTGGTGGGTATACAAGAGAGGGCAGGGCTGCCAGGTCTGGGTTGGAAAATACCTGGAGAATTTGGGGGTGGATCTAGGAACGAGTGAGGTTTGGGGAGGGGCCGCAGCATGGTACGATGCCATAGAGTCCACCCTTCAAAGCAGCCATTTTCTCCAGGGGAGCTGATCTCTGTCAGCTGGAGATCAGTTGTAAAAGCAGGAGATCTCCAGGTCCCAACTGGAGGCTGGCAACCCTAAGAGAGAGGGCCTTTTCAGTGGCAGCCCCATGGTTATGGAGCAGCCTCCCCAGGGAGGTGTGCCTGGCCCCCTTACTTTTGATCTTCAGAAGACAGTTGAATAGTTTTTTTCAGGACTGCATTTGAATAATTTAATTTTTATTTCTTGACAGTCCTAATTGAGATTTTAAAGAGTGGGCTTTTTATAACTGTTGGTTTATGTACATTTTAAGCCACGATAAAATCCACAAGGTAGAAAGGCAACTAATGAATGTTTTAAATAAGTACAAATACAATATTATGGTTGTGATGTCACTTAAAAAAAAAAGGATTTCTTTGTACTGTACTCTTCTTAGTGGTATATACTTCTGTTTTAAAAAATCTATGTGTTTCCCTAAACTGCAATTTCCTCTTTTTACTTTTTAAAAAATAGGTTAGGTGGACCTGATCCTCTGGACTACGTCAGTATGTACAGGAACTTGGGGAGTCCAGCCCTAGATGTTCCTGAACACTGGCACTATGTGAGCTTTGGATTAAGTGATTTGTATGGCGACAACAGAGTACACGAGTGAGTCCTTTTTTTATTTACTGTGGATTATTGTTTTCTGAGTTGGGGAGCTTTGGTCTCTGTGAGTTCATCCGGTCTAGTCTTTATATTTAACTGGCATACTGCTCAGCTAGAAACTGACCTATCTACAGCAACTAATGTAGCGGCAAGTATGCCCAGTGCTCTGTAAACTCCTAGAACACATCATGATTGACCATATAATGGTGAGAGTTTGGGGGGGGGGGGAACCCTTCCTTCTCATGGTCTGCTACAGGCACATCTCCATTAAGCACAACTCCTTAGTGTCTGTCCTCTGTGAAAAGGACAAGATCATGCCCATTAATCAGTGCAACATTAAGATACAGGTTTTTGAAATGAATACATCTAGTTTGCACTAGAATCTTTGTATTACAAATGGATATAGAAAGTTGTGTGATGTGTTAATTTATTAAAGTAATTGTATCTCACCTTTTCTCTAGGCTGAGTGTATACTTTTTGTACAAATATGTAAGGACTGAAATATAGCTGCCCACTCTCTCCTTGCTCACAGTTTGTGGGAGGGGCATGGATTTCATGTTGTGCTTAAATATTTGTTATAGCTTGCTTACAAAAGAGACCAGTTTGTAAAGAGAGAATTGCTGATTATAGGTGTTCTTTTCATTGAAAAATATTTTGTAAAGGTGCTTTATGCAATAATGGCAAACAAATTTAATAATCCTCAGCCAGTACATTTTCAACAATCTTGTTGAAAAAGGATCGAATTCCCCTCTTTTGTAATCCAAAGTTTATTATCTGCAGCATTCCATTCATCTCCTTATTTCTGCCTTTTTCATCTTCAGAGGAAGGATTGATAGAACAGTCGTCACAGTGTGTCACTGTTGAATGTTCCCAGTTTTCACATATTTGCTTAAGGCAGTTTTGTAAATCTTAAGTATTCTCTGCATATGTTGTATATCCATTCTCCTTCATATGCAGCATCAAGGCACTTTTTCATAGTTCCTATTCTCTGTTGGTGGTAGACCTCCCTTGAAGCCAGGGCCACCTCGTGGATTTTTTTTTTTTTGTCTAGAGTGTGTTTGGCTTAAAAATGTCATTTGTTTAAGGTAGTTAATGTACGAGACAGGCCACCTACAGAGAGGCTGCCTTGCAATGTTTAAACTCACACAGAGTCTCTGGAACTAAAACACTTCCCTATTGTTAAAGATTTTGGAATTAGAGACTTTTAAAAAAAGTGTGGAGGGAAATATCTTTTATGTTTACGGCACAGTAGTTAAACTTACAAGGAAGGATGGTTTTAATAAAAGGAATGTTACTAAGTTTGGCTTTGGGCAAATCCAGCCAGTAGCGTATCACCCTATACATCCTTGGAGAAAAAGCCCCTCTGCTTTTCTGTGCAAAATTTCCCCCCAATAATAGTGATTGGAGTGGGGGAAGGGAAGAGGCACTGTTAGGAATAGCGTAGTTAGTGAATGGTTGGTAGTATATGTGTTGGCCCTTTTGTTACCTCTACAATTACTGCTTCTGAATTATTCTTCCTTTGGCTCACTTGCTGTCCTGTGAGACACTCCCAGCCCTGCACCTCTGATGGGACTACTCTAGATTAGAAGGAGGATTCCTGTTCACTTCTTGCTTACTCCTTCTGGATCCCTGGGATATTTGGCAGTTGTATATGGGCTACATGTTAGCACCTATCCTGTTCTCCTAATCATGGAGTTCTGCACCTCTGCTGTGTAAGAACTGAAGCTGGTTCCCTGCTTGTTTTCCATGTAGCTGCAACATATTGAACCCCCAAAGCTGCTGATCACATGGTATTGTCCTAACTGCTTAATTTGTGTCTGTTTATAGGCTCTGTAGGAATGGAAAGAATTCTGTTTCTTTTTCTAGCAGGTCTTTGGGCTGACTAGTTGCAGCATTCTCAGTGAGGCCCAGGAAGGAATTTTGGTCAGGCTTTGCACATTTTCCTCTAGCAAAGAATCTCTGCAAAAAGCATGAACCTGATAAACTGAATGCAGATAGTTGCCATACAGTGTTGTCTTTATGTGATTTATATACTTCACAAAGATAGCATTGATATAGCGTACTGTACAATTAAATGAGTAAAATTGACTCATTCAGAGTAGTTGAAGATTGCCAGTTCTTGAACACAAACAGGAATTGTCATTGGTGGTAATGCATCAGTGTTAAAATAGGTCTGTATATGGGCCCCACAGAGGCATGTAGATCTATAAGTCAGGAGACCAAAATACAGCTAGGAAAATCAGTCATAAAGACTGTGAGCGAAAAAGCAGACTCAACCCTAAATTAATTACAAGTATATGTGCATTTCCTTCAAAGTCTTGAACTGTTTAAGCATTGAGTAGAGGGTTGAATCTGGATCTCACAGGTCATAGTTTGACATGTTAACCACTGCCTCTCACTGGGTGACTTATTTTTAGCCCAGGCAAGCCCTATCTTGTCAGATCTCGGAAGCTAAGCAGGGCAAGTAATTGGAAGGTAGACCTCCAAGGAACACCAGGGCTCGGGGCGCAGAGGCAGGCTATCAAGTCACCTCTCTGAAAAGTCCAAACACCACTAGGGGTTGCCAGAAGTCACCATGACTTCCAGGCATGCAAACACATAAACACACAAAGACCCACTGGCAGAGTTATTTTATATGGTGTTTGGGAAATACTGGAGGAGGCAAAGGGGAATTTTATCTAGGGGTTGTGGTGCTTCTAAACAGCCCTGATTGTTTGTGCCTGCATTTGGTAGTCAGTGATACACTGCTTCTGCAGGTCTCATTGTGCGATTTCTCTAGGTTGTGCAGATTCTTTATGTAATATGTAACACTATGAGACTAGAGCGCAAACACATTTTGCATATTTCAAATAACAGATTCACTTTGAATCGTTGATTACTGTAATGCCTGTATATAGCCATAGCTGTGGTTTCACTATCACTAAATACCTAAACTATACTTAAGGAAGGACCGCACACCAGGTTGTGAAGTCAGCTTGCTGTTGATGGTTTGCATTAAACATTGTTAAGCATCTGTTTTGAGCAGAACTGTTATAGAATTCTCTGGATTGTGAGTTGTTATTGTGCTTTTTATAGATGCGAGCTAGGTATACTTCTTGCTCAGTTGTTGAAGTGGCCAGCTATTTCCTTAGCCCTGTTATTATTCCATGTGGACCTATATTTTGCTTTTGCAATCTGAATGAAATTGTAAAAGTTAAATATAAAATTAGACTGTACAAAATGGATGATGGTAGGTAGATGGTACTGGTGACTGTAAATAGTACTTAGCAAGGCAAAAGGAAAGTGCGACAGAGAACAAACTCTTTAATTTGAAAATCTTACCAGGCTAGCTGAATTTAAATTCTCATAAAATGTCACAAACTTTTTTGTTACTTCAAATTTAATTATTTAGTTTTTTGCAAAAATGCATATCATAGATATGTCATTTATTAAAGAAATCTCAACTTATCACAAGTTTTAATAATCTTATCTGTATCAACTTGCACATGAATAGATAGTTAAGGAAAATCATCTTCTTCTTGTTTTGGTTTATACAAACAAATGATGCAGCCAGCTCCACTTTAGAAGAGGCATTCCTCCCTGTGCTGGAGAAAAAGGGGAAAGCCTCTTTTAAAGTGGTGCTTGCTATTAAGCTACTTGTGTTAACGTTTTTTTTTAAAAAATCTACCATCTGATTAATCAGGGGTACTTTTTTAACAGAGCAAGAATTATAACCAATTAATGCAACTGATTAAGCCACTTTAGTGTTGCAGCACTAGGTATTGTTGAGTTGCTGTAATGGCTGAGCCTCTAATAACATGTATAGTAATTCTTGATGAGCTCACAAAACAGTTATAGACATTGTCACTAAAGAAATAGTGGAGAAATCTGATATTGCACTGGATATTATTTCAGTGCTGTTTTCTTAAATTTAAATACTGCTGTTGATTGGGTAATTTAACATTGATATCCCTCAGCTGGTTATCAGGTGAGGAAAGGGGATTTATCTAAAGACTGATCTTAAAATATAGGCTCAGACTTCACATTAATGGAAATTCTGTGATTTTTCCCTCTATGGTTTTTTAACCAAAAGCTGAATGGGTTATGGTGAGTATAAACAGAAGGAGCCAAGAAGGATTAATCCTTTCCCTTTTGGTCCCTTTTCAGCTGAAAATTACCCTCGCTTTTTCACAGGGCGTATGTATTGGTGTGTGATTTTGAGCTGTAAAAACAGAAAGAGCCTCTTTGCCTTTCTTCTGCTCATACTCAGCTTGCCCCAGGCATCCTTGAGTTAAAAAGCAAAACACAACTCTGTGTGACATGTAGTTTTTGCCTAAGGGAGCAAACATATGCAAAGTAAATGTCTGAAGATACTGGTTTCATGTAATTTGGCAGTGTAGCAAGATCGTCTTCATTTTAAGTTTCCATGTGCTAACAGTGCACAGAGAATTGTGAGTTTTCAGTAGATCTACTATAAATAGTCTTGAAACATTTTGTTCTGTCTTTAAACATTTACAGTAAATTAAAAATGTCATTAGCACATTAAGCAAATATGGCCGAGTCATTCTTGCTGTGATCTTTGAATTAAAATATAGGCATCACCCTTTCTGTATACAAAAGTAAAAGTGTGATGATCCACCCTTTCATAGGTCACCTAGATACTGTAACACCTTAACTTGGGAAGTAATTGCAGACATTACTGAATGGGATTGAACTGGATGGTTTAAATGGCTCCTTAATATGCTGGAAGGAATGTCAGCAGATTGGCACCTTTGCACACTGCTGGTGGCAGTGTGAGAAGACCCAGAGCTTTTGGAAAGAGGTACAGAGTTTACTTAAACACATCATCAACATAGACATGCCACTATGCCCGGAAGGGCTTTTTCTAGACTACTGGCCACCAAATATAGAAAATCATGTACACAAAAATACCTTGGATGTAAGGGTCTATGATGCCAAGTCCTCCATTGCTACATGTTGGAAGGACACAAAGCCGCCCGGAACACCGATCTGGTACAAGAAGT